CCGTCGAGTAGGAGGGCCCCCAGTGTGGGCTTGTGCATACGGTCTTCCAGATCGAGGGAAATCATCCTTATTCCACTGATGTTGATTCAAGAACGCGGTCATAGCTCCGATAGCCAGACGCCTGTCGCTTCTAATGCAGCTGCAAGACAAGGGAATTGATGAACTATCTGCAGTTTTTAGTAATTACGAGTCCATGGGTAATCAAGTAGCTACAATATGACGCGAAGTACATGCCCTGTAGTGGAACCACTCCAGAAAATTTATCTAATGTTTGCTTGACCACTGCAGCGCTATCATCACAGTATCGTCTACATGATCAAGATCAATTGATTTTCTACCAGACAGCTCCTCAATGCTTGCATCATGAGCTTCCACAAGAAAACACTTCATGACACCGTCCATGATGAGGTTGAAATGAAATGGAGAATTGGAGTGGTATTAACAAACACCGCTTGTTGTTTGAAAGACCCTGACGCGACCTGTGATGTTCCAGAATAGGGCAAGTGAGATGTTCACATATTTCACGAGAACACTTTTTCACTCGAGTATGTTTTACAGAATAGATAGATCGACTGAGTTGATCCCGCTGCTGAAGTCCAGGAACAGCTATTTTCGGTTTGCGTTACTTTTCTAACACCTGATGTATGGTTAATATATGGTTTATACAGCCCCTAGGTGTATGTCTGTTTGTTTTTCCGTTCTAAAGCGAACAAAGGCCAGCAATTTCATAACCACTGACGTTAACTTCACGCTTCTGTTGTCTCCGCTGACGACGCGGGTAGCCGTTACAGTGTTACTAATCTCTGACTAGCGACTTCCCAGCTCAAACGACGAAGGCTCCGACAAAACCATTCATTTAGCGAAGAACTTACAACCTTCACACTCTAAATGTCTACCCGTAACACCTGCCTTGTGACCCACCTGGTCACTGATTCGAATCTGCTTAGAGACGCGGGCAACCACTTTTTATCCCTAGTCTTTGCACGACTGGTGGTGGTTTCGTTGCAGCGAAGCAATGCGGTGCCGCACGGACGCGCTACTGACACCTTTCTGATTTTATAATTTAACCGAACTCGCCTAGGGAAAGGTCCCACTTCATGCGAGATTGCCAGAGGCAAGTGAAGCACTCTTTGGCTTGATTCAAGCCAAAGCGCTCTCATGACTGTCTCCTGGTCATAAGGCTAAGAGCTTAGTGGATCCGAATATTTGCTGACTGTTGGTAAGAAAACAGACTTGAACAACCTCTATATCTTACTTTATTAGCCACTCCGCAAGGCTTGATGTACAACTTTCTGCTCGTGCCCAACGAATTTCTGATGACGGATTCCCGTATCCGAACAGTCTACCACCGCGGTTGCATGTTCGGCTCTTCTGGAACGGCTACGCGAGGTTCATCTGATTCGTGTTCTCCGTTGGTTGTCGAATCTGTCCGAGATCATATCCGGCTATAACTGTCGATTGTTTGTGCTTTCCGAGTTGCTAGTTGGTCGCAGCTGATTGGCATGCCTTATCCAAAACCGATCACCTCATTTAAATTAACATTCTTGGAAACTCACTGGTCGTCCCATTGGTTTGTTTCCCAGAACTTGCTGTAGTTTCCCGCCTTATTGTATCTCCCGTTTCTTGAACCTTCTAGGCGCACTAGATTTTTCCGTCAACTCATGTCCGCCCTAACTGTTCCGTCGTGGTCGCTTTGTTCTCTTGGTCTTTAGGGATTCTTTAGCATATTAACCATCTTATCGGTTCTTCCCGCCCCCCCCGTGTTCGATACGCCGCTTACCAATATTGCTACAAGTAAGATCTGTGCCATGCATTATAGCAGAAATACTATTCACTCGGTTCGTCCTCGAAATTATAGGTATAAATAAATTTCAGCGGACATACTCCTAGTCCCGAGAATCCATCTGCCACAACACTCTGTTTGGAACTAGTCGTGGGGCTAGTTGCCCATGTTGACGGAGAAAGTCAGGTAATTTTAGCGATCAAACTCAGCGCATGTATTCTTAAGCGAACCGGAGCCAAAGATATGATCACTTCCCTTGGCACCTCAGTTCCGTACGGTTGAACAGCTATAATCCGGGCACCGAAGTGCAGTGAAATCAGTTCTCACGGCCCTCATCACCACGATAACAATAACTAGCACTAATAAAAAATTAAGGAAACGCATACTGGGCACAAATAGCAGGAAATTACCTAGTGGTTAATATTAATTGTTTAAAATATTTACAGATAAACGCAAGCAACCGAATGTAAAACGCATCAGAGTGCGCAACTACCCATTGTCCGATAAAGTCTCCAACCACTGATGTGGTCCATCTCGAGATCCCCATCCATGAAACAACACTCGCCGGCTCGATCATGCCTTCCGGCTAACTTCTTCACATCTTTACGTCACATAGTCGACTATCCACCTCGCAGTTTCTCTCAACTATTTGGAGCGACACCATATGATGCACGTCAAAGAATACGGTCGACCAACATAACCAGACCAACGCAAGCAACCAAGTCTTAGCAGATGTCCCAGCGAGACACTAAAAAGTTTCTCGTCAAACACCAGTTGGTGGACCACAACATTGCTCACCCGGTCTTTCAGCCATTTACGGGCAATACTCCAAAAGCACTTGTGATCAAAGACGGCCACTTTTTTGCTGTCCTCAGCATGAAGTAGCCGGGCATTTGATCCATACAGGAACTCCGGTCTTATCACAACTTTTGCCCGTACCTTTGACTGACAGGCTGATATCCCGCCGTCCTCTGAAAGCTACACTGGCCTTGCCGATGAACGAATTAACCTCCTCACTAAGGTGACCTGCAGAGATGACAACGACAGGTGACTGAACCCATCCACTACTTTTAGCAGCCGTCTGGTAATAATTAGATCCGGTGAGTTGTCTGCCTAGTTTTGCAACAGTACTTTACAGATACAAAGCACACGCTGAAGCGTGCAGCGTTACGTGTCAGTCTTTCCACCAGTGCTGTCTAGCAATTGGACCGACCTATGGAAGGTCCTCACTTGCATACTTGAAATTTGTCAGTTGGTCTTCTCGCCGAACTTCCACTTCAGAATGAGTTGCAATGGTAAAGTTCCTTATGCTCGCTTCGATCACAAAGTTGGAGAAGAAAGGAGATGCAAGACACTCCTGGCGAACTTCATTTGTCGTGGAGTCTCGGTAGACAGCTTCCCGTAAAGTCTTGCTCGGCCTCAAGAGTTACATCCGATAGACTTTAGAATGGAATAGCTTCTTCCCTGACATGTCCTAATGGATAGACAGTACCACAAACTGACACGATTAGCAGGGTCGAGTGCGGTTTTCAGGTCAAGGAATATAATAGTAGGTCGTCTTTAAGTTTCGCTTCCTATCACTTGGCGAAGTGTGAGTATGTGGTCGATGCAACCAAGAACAGGTCGCAAGCCAGCCTGGCTTCCAAGAGGACTATTGAATCATCACAGAATGTTGCCTGTGAGGAGTGTGGAGGCAGTTCACATAAGGCCAATGCCTCTGTGGTTTCCCATTTATCCTTTGATTCTTTTGTAAGATGGGGTCAAAAGTTGACAGACAATTTTCCAAAAGTACCTCTTCATTGTCTCAAATGGTGTTGGATGGAGCGGGAAGTGGTCGGGTCCAGAAGCATTGTTTCCTTTCAATACAGCGAGTTAATGTCGGATCTTCCATCGTTGGAAGTGTGCCATCAACTAATAACGTGGGATCAGCTGATTCAACAAACGGCACTGTCGCAGCAGGACTGGTGAACTGCTCTCTGAAATGTTTCTCTCAACGGGCTAGTCGATGCGGCTGAGAATCCATCAACTTTTTCACTGAGGACTTCCTTTGACCTGCGTTGCGAATGAGTTGGGAACTTATTCGGCCGGTACCACTATCGACGACTTTCTCCATCTCACAGGCTCTTGCTAAATTCCAACTTTGCCGGTCAATGCTACCGCTCATTGTCAGTCGTTGTTTCAGGATTTTACGGTTTTACTGAGACTTAATACCCGACGGGAACTTTTTATTTGCTCCCACTAAACTGATCCATACCTTGGAAATCCACTCATCGTTTGGACGTTTTAAGTTGTACTATCAGCAGGTGTCAAACGTGTTTTTCCTGGTACATGAAACGATTCTAGTCAGCATTCAGTTTACCAGCTTCATCTCTCATTGACTATTGGTGATAATTTTCGTTGTGCTATTCTTGAATTGCGGACTATGTCCGAGTTGCAAGCGTGGACCTTTGTTGAAGCGGGAAGAGTGAGCACCGTGAGTCTGCACACGACCATGATCGAAATTCAGGCACTTGCTCCAACTTGACCAAAGTCTTTAACCGGTGCGCGTCATTTGTGACTAATAGAAATATGTTCTGTTTGAGTCCAGTATGTCGAAGAACTCTGCGGGCGTCAGATCACACGTTGTGAGCACTTTCACTGGGAACTGGTGGTGCAGTGACCAGCACATCGTTGGGTGAATCGATTGCCATTGAGGCGCATCGACCTTGAAACGGCCACCCGGGTGTTGCCCTGACTCCAATAAGCGACCCACTAGGCATTCATGTCGCCAGTAACAGCCATCAGATGCGCCATACGAACGGAGAGTTAGATCTGACGATGAAATGCGTCTTTGCTACTCCCAGCTGCAGTTGGCGAGCCATAATCGGAAGCTATGGAAAGTTGCCTTCAGACGTTTTTCTCATTAACCCAATAGAAGTTTGAAGTTTAAACCCACCTATGCGGCTCTTCACTTGTATCCACGAATGCATTCGTATCGGCATCACTTCGTTTTCGATGTTCTTATGTTGTCTCGCTTGCGGACATGTTCCTCGCTGTTTCGGCAGTGTATTGATTCTCATTTGCTTGCTCGAGCCTCATATAGACTTAGGTTTGACACAGCCTTTCGTTATGAGCTTGATTCCACCAGTCTGCTACACTCCAAATAATTAGTCATCCGACCCATATTTACTCCTTTAAAGGTTACTCCGTGTTACCATCACCCTTTTTATCTTTCCAGAACAACTATTTCATCTACGTACAACTGATACCGCTGCTGCTGATCTTCGTCCTGTCATTCTTCAGCAACTTCTTCGTGCAGGATCCGTACTATAGTCTGACCGAGTCAAGGTGAGGCACTGCATGTTGCTTTCTTCACCGGGATTTTTGCCCCTTTTATCCGTTCATAGCACTGCTATCCAATCAGTCGTAATATTCATACTGTTAGTTGGATTTATTATTATTATTATTATTATTATTATTATTATTATTTTGAACTTGTCATTGATGATGGTGATAACGTGGTGCATCCGTCCCCCATTTGTGTTCGCATCGTAACTCTCTGTTTTGAATTACTCAGCTTCCTGGGTTATCAATAAATAAATGATGTAGCTTATTTTGCCGATAGCGGACACCTCGATATACGAGTGGTCATTCGATCAGCAGGGGACTGCTTATGCCAAATGCACACGACTCATCTTCGAAACCGAAGTTCTCACATCTGCTCCGCACTCCATATCACCTTAAGCATCATCATCAATGATGCTAAGGTGCCGCAATACCAAACGATAAGCTACTAAAAATAACACTACAAGAATTCAAAAGATAAGTAATATGATGGTAAATGTCATATTACTACTTTGCTGAGATCATCATTGAAGGGGAAATTTAAAGGAGAGGGGAGTGAACAAAGAAACTCCACATCACAATTGCCGTTAGGGCCGGCTCCTAGCCATGTCAGCGAGTAGGTTCAACCAAACGCGTTCATTCTCCTTCGGACTCCGGTCCCGCAGTCGGGAAACACCAACCGATGCCAGTTTCGAAGGGATGTATTTCATTCCTCTTGACCAACTGATTGCTCGGCCTCCTCTCATTCTCTTCCATTCAGACCTCGCGCGCAAACAGCGCACGAAGCGCGAATCGGTGTGCTGGCATGCGCAGCACGTGGCCCAGCTATCTGCGCCTGATGCGTGATATAATGGTGTTGAGTGGATCACTCGTTCTTCCTGCACCAACTACGCTACACCAAACACGCTGATTACTCACGCGGTGTTCCCACCAGACATGAGCTAAGCTGCGAAAGCATCGATGGTCTGATGGGCCAGATTTCACAACCGCACAGGAGGGCTGAACGGACGACTGCATTGCAAACTCTGCCATTCAGGGCGAGAGTCTATCACGTTGAGCAACCTCAACTTGATTTTTGTACTTGATTATTTCTACACCTTTGAAGCCTAATTACAAAGTGATTCATTAACACTCCTTCGGCTATGCGGCTCGTAACTCAGCAATACCCTATTCCTCGCCTCGTCAGTGATACCGAGCAGTTTGACGATTGTCTCGAAGCCTAGTTGACTAAATCCCAGTGAATAGGGGTGTACGGCTTGGTGCCTCTTACTTGTACTATGACAGTGATAGATGACATGAATTTGTGTTTCTTTCCATGTGTACTGGCAGTGTCCGGCTGATTTCTATCGACAACTCTCATTACTATGGCCAGCATCGCGAGCATTGTGATCACGGCAGGCTGTATTGGTGTCTAAGCGAGCAGCTTATCGGAGAGCAAACGAACCCTTAAAGTTTATATAACACACTGAGACTACAAACACTGGTGGATGCGCATATTTCGCATTGTTTCCTCAGTACTAATGCAGCAACAATGTTTGATAGGGGTTACCAATCAATTAAATGTGGCGAGATCACCGGCGGTCATGGTCCTCGGTGAAGGTGAACAACTCAGTGCTTTTGCGCACATAGGACAAATCTTAGCTGGCTTATCACCGTGGCCTTGACGAACCACAAGAAGCTTGGATTGAGATGACGTATTAAAATCCGTTGACGGATCACCACCTCCGTTTGGATCGATTCCCATCGGGCTCCGAATGACAAGCAGCTTATTCACTTGAGTGCCGGTGCTACTCTTGAAATCTCATCCCGTCGCGTCACGATACACCTTATGTAAGAGGGTTGATCACACCACAGCTATCAAAAGATGGCGTACCTCACCTCAATAGTGTTGATCGATTTGGATGGAATAATAATAGTAATAACAATGTGTCAGCTGTGCGCCTTAACGGCACTTCGCTGCCATCCGACCACTAGCAGTCACACGCTCCCTGAATATACCTCGAGGACGCACACTCCTACACGGATCCGAACCCGCGCCGCAAGATTAAGCGACAAGCTCATTACATCTAATCTACGGGCTGACATTTGGATGGAACAGCTGCTTAAATCCTTGTTACTTCTTAATGTGCCCTACTGATAACTCGCTTTACAGACCTCAGTGATGCTTCAAAATATTCATCTACCTAACGCATTACCCGGTCTCCTTTTTCTACGTTGCATTATCAGGCCCACTTGAGGCGCCGGACATCACTGACGAACGAGATAAATGATTTGCGTTCTTCTCGGCGTCATCTTCAATCCGTTTAGATCTGCTTATTCGTCTAGCTTCAGTCGGCGAAACGATGAATGGGTTTTTGAGGCGTATTTTGATTGATAAGTGTTTTTGAAATCGAGAGGACGGGTTCTACCAAATCACCTTTCCGTACCACAGGCCTCGAAGGTAATCTTAGCGAGTGGGATGATATCTATCAGTTAGACATATCTCGTCCATTCTCAGACACACTAGCTTGAACGTTGAATGAATACTATCGGGGGCCTTTTCTCTTATTCGCCGTTTCGCTGCACTTCCACCAATCACTCGAACTTTCAAGTTGTTGACGTCGCGCTTGTCGGCATCGAGGGAAGTCGATGGTAACTTGTGCCATCGAAATGAAAAAGCGCACATTGATCTCACCTCCTTGCTCCATAGTTGCTCTAGTGTAGAGCACTACTACACTGATTGGAATTCATTTCGACGCGCCCCATGACCAGGACCGTCGGTAAAGCAGATGGATACTGAGTGTTACCCGCAGTCCAATCAGACAACGAGTGATCCAAAATAACCCATCCAATCTGTCAGTAACCGTTGTGACGAGTGTTGCCCATCGTGACCCAGTGACTTAGGGGTATAAGATCCAAATTGTCCCGGATTCCACGCCTGCTATCTCCGCCTGATGAGATCAAATGAGATTGCAACGCGTCGTGGAGTGCAGTATACTGTTTTCGAGCGGACAATACCCAATATTTATCTGCTTCATCAACTACGGTCCCAGTGATCGTAGTGACCAAGGTTCAATACGAATTGCCGTCCACATTAAGGTTGTGCGTCAATCCATTCACACAGCGAGTGCTTTACAATGACTCCTGTAATCGCCCATTAACCGATGTGCTGCCAAGCGTTGTTTGCCGCTTCTCTATGGCTAAATGATGTGCAGCAGTTTCCGCGCAAACATCCCAAACTCTCCGGGTTCCAGTGCCTCCTAACTCTGCGTCATGCAATCAAGCAAATTCGAAGCCGGTTGTGGGTATGCAATGTTTTCACATTGGCAACACCTAATATCCATTCACTGCTACCAGTTTTCTTCTTGTTACTTTTAATTTTTGGGTATTACTATAGCTGCATATCAGGGCTCTCTGCGATCGATAAGCTGATTTTACACACCAAACCGTTAGGTTTCGAGTCTTCTACCTTTGTTGTTTGGTCGTACTTCGACGGATGGTCGCTGTGACTTAACTTAGCTTCATTGATGCTCTATCTCATATTACAACTGTAAGTACTGATGCCACAGTAGGCGAATATGAATTGGTATTTTGTCCGTGCTAATCTTGGACACTGCGTTATTGCTCAATTAGACACATCTTTAGTCCTCCTTTCATGTGTATTTCTCAGTTATCTCTACTGGTCCATACGTATGTAATCATGTCCAGCTGATAATCTGCTATAGATTCCAGTACTTGTACTGATCATACGGCTTCTCATTCATCCATGCTACATGGTGGTTGTTGCTAAGCGTCCACAATCAGATCCCTCGGCTTAAACTATCTACGCTTCTGTTATGTCCAAAAAGCTAATGTGATGGTTTTTTGATATCTTTGGTTTCTGGCACTCACATATTTAGATGTTCTAATGATAAACGTTGGATGCCATTTATTTTTTTCAACCATCTGCAACAGTCTCTGTTATCTAGGACACGTAATTCATTTAGGGGTGGCTTTCCTGTTCCCACTTCGTTATCCGTTTTCCACCTTGGACTTTTATTCCTGGTTTGCAGTATCAACCTTCACTCGTTACATTCTGCACACTTGTGCTTTAGGCTATGTTGCGTTGACGCTTCAGTGTCTACCGCACTTATGATTAATGTACATCTTTGTTGGTAACATGTTTCATTTGTCTGACAATTGTCCTTGTTTTTGCAGCAAATATGCGGTAAAACGCCTCACAACTGTCCATGGGGTACCCTATTACGTCAAGCACACATTTAATCACGATTTCGATGGCGATATCACACGATTGGAAAACCAAGTTGAAAGGGAGTTCTCCAGCAATCTGCGCGTTCGTTGCTACCGGGAACAGGAATACAGTAGGTTACTCGATGCTTGTTATTGTTATCATGTTTTCTTGCACAAATTTGATTCCTATGAGACATTTTTATGGCCTCTCGGAGCTGAGCGCTGTGCGTGCATAGTTCGGGTATAGTGAGGGTTTACGGCAAAGTGTTGCCGCCTTTCAGTATCTCCAGCGGTGTGAAATATGGTTGTCCGTTGCCACCTTTCTTCTTTAACCTCATTACTGACGAAGTCACAGGACGACTTGAAAAGTGCGAAGCTACTGCCTGGTGACCGGCTTTGGAATTTGGAATTTAAAGATGACATTGTTCTCTGACAAGTCCCGAATATGCCAAACTGCAATGGATAAATTAGTTCCGGCTGTCAGTCGTTTCGGGCTATTCTTTGCACCCTCAAATTGCGAAGTCCTCCAAGCTTGGCAAGGATTCCCCGCTCCCCTAACCCTTGGCTGTGGTCAGCTAGAAGTCGTCCAGAAGTTCAAGTACCTAAGCGGCTATATTATTGCCTGTGGGATCGAAGCTGAGGTCACGAACCGTATAGCAAAAGCTCGGAATGCTTTTGTCAATCTCCGCCACCTTTGGCGCCGGCGCGACGTTATTCTCGCTTTGATTGCAGGGTTTATAATGCAGCCGTCCGTACAACACCTATACGGTTGTGAAATCTGACCCATAAATTCTACAGTCTTAGTGGTTTCTTACGTTCGATCATCGCTGTCTTCGCAGTATAGCTCATTTTTGGTGGAACACCGAGTGAACAAGGAGCATGTTCGGCACAGCGTATTTGCTGCAGAAGGCGCGACCGAATCGCTCAGCAGCATTATGTCACGCATTAGGCTCCGATGGCTGGATCATGTGTTGCGCATGCCAGCACACCGACTCCTGTGTCTTGCGTTGTTTGCGCGCCCGGGGTCTGTATGAAAGCAGATCAGGGATGACCAAGCGATGACTTGGTCAGGAGGAACGAAATCCCTCACTTCGAGCTTGGCATCGGTTGGTATTTCCTGACTCCGGGCTGCCATCGCAATGAGGCTGGACCTTACCGTGGTGCGATGGTTTGCGTGCCTCAGATATCCATTGAGCTATGCTGGGTGGTGTTGTTTGCAC